AAGCTTCAGCTGGTTGAGTACAAAAGGCTCCCAGATATTTGTTTTGAATGTGGGCGTTATGGACATTCTATGGATGCCTGTTCTGTTCGCAAATCCAACGACTCCCCTGTCACGGGTAACAGTGAGGCTCCTAGTGGTAGCGGAACGGTTGTGATGGAGGAAGTGCCGGCGAAGGGGATTGATAATGTGGTGGAGGAGCAGGGTAACTTTGGTCCCTGGATGGTAGCTAAAATTGTGGAACGACCCTGGTCTGGGCGTAATAAAGGAGGGGTCATGAAGACCATTGGAAAGGTTGCTCAACCTATAGCGACTGGGTCGCGGTTCAATTTGTTGAGTCGAATGCCAGGTGATGACTTAGATTCGCAGGCGAAGAGCACTAATGCGATGTCGGACGTGCAATAGATTTTTCAGTCTGGGAGGGTTTCTACTAGTTCCAAAAATGTGGGAACCAGGGGAGATCGTGATAAGGGGAAGCAAGGTGGGAATGACGAATGGCGGGTGGTGAGAAATACCCGCAAGGGAAAAGGGAAGGAAAATTCAGAGCCGAATGTTACTAAAGAGTTGGGAAAAAAGGTTGTGGGTGGTGCGTTTAGAGGTGAACAGGTGCATGGTATGGAAGGGGTGGAGGTTGGTTTGGATAAGGGTGTGCCGAAGAAGATGAGTGTGGATGTGACGGAGGGTTTAATGCTAAATGAAGCTGCACGAAATGTGCCAACTAATGTTATCCCAGTTCACTCTTCATTGGATTCACTCAAACACACAGTTGTACATGTGCTTGAGACTCCGGTTCGTAATGACAACAATACGAAGGGTCCGAATCATGTAGATTTGGACCGTGACATTGAAAAATGCTAGTCTCTTCAAGTTCAGACCATCTACCACTCAGCGGGGTAGGAGTCTTTGCCAGTGCATGATGGAATGTCAGAAGTAGGAGGTGACGTTTGCATGGATGAAGAGAATGCTCAGGGTTCTTGTAACCTGAGTGTCCTTTGACGGTGGTCAACCCTTCCCTCTTTCGTACGTGTGTATATGGATATTATCACCTGGAATGTCCAAGGGGCAGGCTCGACAGAGTTTCATCGAGCCTTCTCAGATACCATTAATCAATATAAACCGGATGTGTTTGCAGTTTTGGAACCTAGAATTGGAGGTAAAAAGGCTTATGATGTTGTCAAACTTAGTGGTTTCGATCGTTCTTTTAGAATTGAAGACCAAGGTTTTTCGGGTGGTATTTGGATTCTATGGAGGGAAAGGGTTGAGGTGCAGATTGTGAGATGTCATAAAAAATTTTTACACACTTTTCTCAAGTGTGGGGAGGAGCAGTTTCTTATGACCTTTGTTTACGCTAGTCCAAATGTTCAGGCTCGACGGGCGTTATGGGCTGAGCTAGGGGCTTTGGCGGCAAGTATGCGTGGTCTTTGGTTGCTAGGCGATTTTAGCACTCTTCTTTGGAGTTCTGAAAAAGTAGGAGGGTCTAGTAGGCAGCAGTGTGTGAATGTTGATTTTTCTGATTGGTTTCTCAACAATAATATGTGTGAACCGAATACTGATGGGACAAAATTTACATGGTTTTGTCCCGAAGGTTTATCAGAAAAACTTGATCGTTTTGTAGCTAATTGTGATTGGATGGACAAGTATAGAGAAGCACGGGTCCTGCATTTGCCTCGCTTGCAATCGAATCATACACCAATAATGATTCGTTGTAAGAAGGTCTTTCATCAACGGAATGGCTCGAAAGGATTCTGTTTCCTTGTTCCTTGGCTTTTGCATGAGGATTTTCGGAATTCGGTGGAGCGGTCGTGGTTGGATGGTGTTACGTATGAGGTTGCTGCATCCAGTTTCACGACAAAAGCAAAGGAGTGGAATCATTCTGTGTTTGGAAACATTTTTCAAAAAAAGAAAAGACTGAAAGCGAGGTTAGCAGGAGCTCAACGTTGTTTGCAATATTATCAGACTGAACGTTTGGTTCAGCTTGAACGGACCCTGAGAGCAGAATTGGAGGATGTGTCCAAAGGTGTCGCAACAAGATCGTATCTTTGCTGGTTTCAGATGGGGTGTGGGTGGACGATCATGAAAAGTTGAAATTGATGGCCGGGGACTTTTTCAGAGGCATTTACACAGCCGTTGCTGCTCCCCCCCGGTATGTGTACAGCTGCCTAATCGTTTTCCGGTTTTGAAACAGGCGGAGATAGACAAAATGTCAAGGATGGTGTCGGATGTTGAGGTTGCTATTGCTCTAAAAGAAACTTTTATGAATTGAAAGGGTTAAACACTATCATGTGAAAATATAATTCTAGTATATCATATTATCATCAACCTATATATTTACGAGTTTGGTCAAAGTTTTGATAGTTATTCTCATACGGATTTGTTCTTCACACATGCAACCGTTTCAGTCTTTTCATCTTCGTTCTCATTATTATCATCATCAATCATCCTCATCAAACTAATTTATTTATATTTTCTTTAAATTTGTCTGTTTATTTTCTCTCAACAATGTTGGAAGTACTGAAATTCATTTCTTCATATTCTTCATTTACTCTAACAATCATTACTTTGGTTATTCCTGCCTCATCAATTGCATCTCGTGCATTATTGATTTTCTTCATTTAAATTTAGTTTTTAATTTCTTGTCAGTTGTTATAATGGGTAAAGTAAAACTTAAATTTTTATATTCTTCATGTATTTACTCTAATAATTACTAATAGCAATAAAAGATTTTCGTGCAACTCTTTTACTTTCTTTGTTTTGTCCCTCCCTCATTCAGTTCCAAAAAAACGTTAAAAAATCTTTTAACCATGATAACTTTTCAGTTTGAAGTAGTGTTATTTAACTCGGATCGGACTGGCCGGTTCAACCGGTTAAACTGAGAATCGGACCACATGCCGAGTCAGGTGACTTGAAAAAACCTCTATCAAAATCAGTCATAACTCTAAGTGAACCAGGAACCAGTCGAACCCGGGTCGACCATGAATTTCTTGTTTTTGCACTATTTGACCAATTTTTTAAAAACCTGTTTCCATTGTTTTCTGTGTCATTCTTTCTCTTTCCTGATCCAAATGTTTGGTTTTTTTTTGAATGGCCAACAACTTTTATTTATGAATTAATTTGTTATTTTACTCCCAAAAGTTTTTACCACAAATTGTTAAAGGACCATCATTAAATCTTTTTATTATTTTTTTTACATATAAACCTCCATTATTTTATACAAAATTTAAACTACACCTCAAATAAGTTGAAATTTATTTTTAGGATACATTTTATTACTAATAAAAGTTGATTATCTTGTAAATTTATTTGTTTTAATTATAAATAGTTAATATATGTTACTCCCTCCATTTTTTATTATATGTCATTTTAGGGTTTAGTAAATTTATTTAAATATATGTCATTTTAACAAATCGAGACACATTTGACCACTTTTTTCTAATATTTCCCCTTCATTCGAAATGAAACAGTATTAATAATGAATTTTTATTGGTTTGTGATAAATTCTGTAGACCATAAATAAGAGTGTTTTTGTATTTTAACTACATTAATTAATATTTTCTTGGTTTTAATAAATTCTCTAGAAAGACATAAAATAAAAAAATAGAAAGAGTAATTGTTACTGAGTCGGTGTTCGAGCCGAGTCAGACAACACTGGTTTGAAGAACACAATCTCCCCCCGCCCCTCCTCTTTCTCTGTGGTTATTTCTTACTCTTGTATTCGTATTTTGTAGTTCTCATCTTTTTTGGGTCATAGCAAAATAAATAAATAAATAAATAAAAATTCCGAGATCCATATAACAATGGATGAAATTGGAATTTTCAGAAAATCTGAATAGCAAAGGAGGAGCATTTTAGAAAAAAAGTCAAACGTATCTATGACTCATAAATCGTGCAAATTAACACATACCCACAACATGTTAAATAGGCACTAATTATTTATATAGAAAGGAACGACTGATTTCCCATTTCTTTTCTGGTTAATTGTATGGTTGCCTTTATACATTAAGTTTATTTGATAGAAAAGGATCATCTTTTATTTTTCTTTCTTATATATGATTCATCTTTTCTTTTTATAGAAATTCAAAATGTTTCATAATTGAAATATTAATCATTGTTGAGGTAGAATATTACATAAATATGATTAATTTTAACCTTTTAATATGATTAATTTTCCTTTTACAATTCTGTAATACAATCATAAAAAAATTATCTAAAATTATTAAATGGTTTTCTTGTCATTTATTTTCCATTTCTTATTTTCACATGTATTTATTTTCTTTATATTTTCTAAAATACTACCTCCGTCCCAAAAAAATAGTCCACATTGAGTTTTGAGTTTTATACTGTTTTTAGTACAAATTTGAAAACTCAATGTGGACTAGTTTTTTGGGACGAAGGTAGTATAATATTAGAGAATATACTCGTGCAACTAACGACTAACTAGTTTATTTTAAACAACGGAATAACTGCAATCCAATGGATAATTACAATTTGTCACACTCTTGAGACGCCATTGAATCAGTAACTGATTGGTTTTGTTGATTAGACCACATAATTTCTGATAAAAATTGCAACAAGTATTTTATCTTACAACTTAATTTCCTTCTGAAACTAACTCGCGGTTGCATATAATGAATTTATTTTTCACAACATCTCAAATATCTCAATCGTGCTTTCCTGTAGGATTTAATTAGTCGGATTCAAAGTAACGACTTCAGACACCAGGTGCATCATATATCAAAAAAGAAATTAATTTATTTCTATATAGTAGTTGCTAAAAGAATTAAGGAATGATAATATACACCTCATTTTATTATAATAAAAAAGAAAGAATTTTCCAAAGGTAATATCGGCTTGAAGGAAACCAAAATTAAAACCGTACGATCAGGACACACCCCAGATCCAACGGCTTCCTTTCAAAATAAAAACCTTTTGACCGTTGAAACTGAAGGTCGGTTTGCCTCTTTATATCTCAATCTTCCCCAAACCCGCTCTGTTCATTCATTAAAATAAAAATTTTATTTTGTCAACGTCTTTAATCGGTTAAGAGAGAAATAATAATCAAGAAAAAGCTGAAGGGGAGAAAAATTGAAGTATAGTGGCGACCTTATTGCAGAAGGAGAGGATCGAAACAGTCTTCTCCAATCGTTCTTGACGTCTATTTTACCGGGTCTTGGAGGGGTTTTAAGCCAGAGTAATCTCGACGAAGAAGAAATTTCGGATATGGCTTCCAGAGTCGCTGTTCATCAGGGTCCCAATCCCAAAGGTTTACTTTTCTAACGCTATTTATGTGTTCTTTTTCTGGGTTCTTTTTTAAGATGATCTTGATTTCAATTTTTATTTTTTTGCCAACCAGAAAATAAGGGTTACTTGAATTTCTGGATTATTCTTTTCTGTTTCTTGTGATCTATGGAATTCGATTTCTTTGGAGTAATGGGTTTTTAGTGGTTTTATTTTTAGACCGAAAGAAACGTTAAGACGTGGGATTTATATTGATCTGAGAAATAACGTTGCGGGAGTAGGAAATAAAATTGGCTTTTTCGTCGGGAAATGAACGATTCTGGCCTCTTCTTTTGTGGAAACATTTCCTTCATTATTCAACCCCTGTCCTTGGTGTGTGAAAATTTCATGTTGATTTTGAAGACTCCGCGAATTTTATTGATTTCGTTCGCAATTTAGTAACTTTGGTGCTTGGATATTGGATTCTGAATATTATAATTTGTTGGTTTAGGTTGATTGTTTTACTAGTATTTTGAAGACATGTTACTTAGAGTGATGTGATCTGTGTTGATCATCAAAGTGTTTCAGTTTTTAATTCTTCTTTAACACTTTGGAAATTCCACGTATTAATCATACTGATCTGCGTTTTCTGATTTTCAAGATATCTAAAAGATGTATGATTCATTGTTTGATTCGCTGAAGAAACTCATTTCTTGATGTTTCTGTGCACCATTTCAATGGACATGGCATTTTGGTCAAATTCTGGTTGGAGAAGTAGACAAACAAGTATAAAGGGTTCTAATTGTGTAATGTATTGTGCCAGCCAATTTAGGTGCAGGAAAGCAGAAGATTGTGCAAGCAGATGGAAAGAATCGCCGAGCTCTTAGAGATATTGGAAACCTCGTACCAGTTCCTGCTGCAGGTGGGAAAACCCGGATAAGTCGACCCGCGACAAGGGATGGGAAGGTACTGGTCAATGGTGGAAAACCTGCAGACAAGCACAACAAGGTTCATTTTGATTTTTTCCCACAATTTTTGGTCTTTGAAATCCATTTTGAAATTTATTTAGTCTTATTTTACACTTATGATTGTTATTAGCTAAGTGGTTTTCCTAGAAAAGAAATACTGGCAATTACTGATGATGATGACTCTTTTTATGTTGATTTACAGAAAGCAATTGCTGACGGAGCACCTGGAAATGTTAGGAAGGATGCTGTTAAGGTGAAACCTGATGAAGTAACTGTAATTAACTCTGATAAGGAACAAGTTGACTGCAGAGAGGAATTTCTGAGGAATGGAATTAACAGGGCTGGTGGAAAGAGTGGAAGAACCTACACTTCTACCCTACTAGCTAGAAGCAAGGTATAAATTACTTTAGTCTGCTATGGTTTTCCTTGTATGATTTCCTTTTGATCTTGTAACTGGGCAGTAACTCGTATACATGAATTGTATCCTAGGTTGCATGTGGGATGGCAAACAAACCTAATGATTCAATAGTGGACATTGATGCGGAAGATGTCAATAATGAACTGGCTGTTGTTGAGTATGTGGAGGATATGTACAATTTCTACAAGGAAATTGAGGTAAGCTGTTGATTATATATATAGTAATTTCCTTGGTACAGCTTAACCATTTGATCCTAGTATAGTTATTAGCATCTTTAACTTACCTCCTGGAAGCAGGAATGTGGCCTTGTTAAAGACTACATGGGTTTACAGCCTGACATCAATGCCAGAATGAGGGCTATTCTTGTGGACTGGTTGATAGAAGTTCATCGGAAGTTTGAACTGATGCCCGAAACTCTATATCTAACTGTCAACATAATGGATCGATTCCTTGCAATGAAGACTACTCCAAGAACAGAACTTCAGTTAGTTGGCTTGGCCTCTATGCTGTTGGCTTGCAAATATGAAGAAATTTGGGCACCAGAGGTACAGTAACTCTTCATTCTGCTGCTAGAAAATGTTGCCATCCAAAACTGATACCAATCTGATTTCTTTTTTAATGATTCAGGCTAATGATTTCATAGCTATATCTCACAATGCTTATGTGAGGAACCAATTGCTAGCCATGGAGAAATCAATTCTGCGTAAACTAAGGTGGAATTTGACAATTCCAACGCCGTATGTCTTTCTGGTTCGATACACAAAGGCTTCTTTACCATATGATTCGCAGGTAATTTGTCGGAACCTACGCATCAGTTCAGCTTTTCTGCTCTAGAAATTTTTCATACTGTCTCGAAATGATTGTTGTTTTACCTTTGGTAGGTCGAGAACATGGTGTTTTTCTTGGCTGAGCTTGGTTTGGGGAACTATTCGACCGCCATACTTTATCGCCCTTCGATGTTAGCAGCCTCCACAGTTTACGCAGCTCGTTGCACTCTCAACAAGACTCCATTATGGACAGAAACACTGAAGCACCAGACTAGATATTCTGAAGACCAGTTAATGTATGATGATTGATTATCATTGTCATTTCTTCATATATATATTTTCCCTTGTATCTCTTTCATTAGACAACCGATCGAATTGACACATTTTTCCTTGTGGCTTGTTTTTCTCTGTGTAGTGACTGTGCTAAGCTCTTGGTGAGCTTCCACTCTGAGTGTGGTGCTGCAGGAAACAAACTCAAGGCAGCTTACACTAAATATTCAAGTCCAGACAGAGGAGCTGTTGCACTGTTTCCACCTGCAAAATGTCTTCTTTCAGTAAAGGCTTCCTCATCTTGAATCAACTCCTCTATGAGTTATGATCATAAACCTTAGTGTCATATCAGCGCTGATAACACGAAATCCAGCACTATGTTATCTTGGTTACTTACTACAAACTAGCCTATATATATGTATATATCTTAGTTTGATTTGCTGATTGAATTGATACATCTGTGTGTAAATATAACACATTTAGGTACATGTAGTTAGTACTACAAGGCCTCCTACTGTGTAATTTGTTTGATTTTCGAGGTCGGGATGATATCATACTGCGTAAAAAGTTGACACAATTCGTTAATTGAGATTCGTTTCTCATGTATAAATGACGATATGCGGCTGAGATCTGTTTGAAATACTGAATTAGTTGCTATTATTACTTCCAATTTCTATATGTTTGTAATGGTTAGAGGCGTATAGTGTCATTGTGGAATTCTACTCTATTTTGTAGCCTTTTTTTTTTTTTAATTTTTTTTTTTTTATCTCGGACAACAAAGTGGATTAATTTGTACCGAAAAAAAAAAAAACACAAAGAAAGATAGGGAGTAACTTATGCTTAAGATCTTGAAAAAGCTAATAGGTTTTGAACTCACTTGAGTCGAGATAATCAAGGTAAAACTGAATTCCAGCAGACTAAATGCGACCGAAGTTCAAAGTCGGGCGAATAAGAAACTGAAACAAGCATGCATGGGTGTTGTAATTGCTGTTATTATTAATCTTGTTGTGTGTCTGCCAATTAAATTCGGAAATGTCATTCATGGAGATTTGCAATAAATTTCAAGATCATGACCCATTGACCCTATTGTTGACGTGAGAAATAATTATTATCCGAAAACCGTGCCTTACGAAATCATGCAATGGCTAATATTTTTAAAACCGTTAGTTTTTCCGCCAAAAATCTCATACACTACAATTTTACATTATGTTCTAAGTCCATATAAAATTTGGGTAAAGTTACAATCTCGTTGTCAATTTTAGGGGGACGGTCCCGTTATTTAACCGTTACATGAGTTTAAAACGATCACAGCCATCTAATTTGTACTAAATGAAGAAAATAATTAAGAAAAACATTAAAGGCAACTAATTAATTACACAGCCAATTAAAATAATCATGGTATAGGTATTGATTACACATCAACGCATGTTTTCTTTTCTTAAATCTTTTATCCCTCTCTTTCTTCTCCAACACCCCTCACACAAGGCCTTTTAAATTTTTTTTTTTTTTTTGTTACGGTTAATTCACACGCATGATAGTGATTTGTTATAAAAAAAAATTCAAATAATTAAATTCGTAATCCTAAAAAATAAAAAAGCTCATAGATAGTCTACAAAACTAACAATCTCATATTTTATGACTTGAATTGTTCATAATATCTTTTTAACCCATAATTTGCATGAGCCATGAACTTTCTTCATAAAAATTTAAAAAACCATGTAATGTAATTTAAACTTTTTCTTATTATTAAACATAAATCATGAAAATAATTGTCACAAATTTTAACAATAATTTTTTACTTGTTTAAAATAGAATTTTAAGTGTGTAATCTTTTTATTTATTCATCTAGAATGCCGAATTTTTTCTTTTGAGAATGTGATGCATTGTGTATAACAAAGGTTCACTTTATATAGTGGGTAATACTTTTTTTTTTATATGTATATACATGCACAATACTTCAATATCTATTATTATACTATAATTATTTATAATTATTGGTGCTTTTTTCATGTTGCAATTAATTTCAAGTGAAAATACAATTTATTATCATAAATATGCAATTCTTTAAAATCTATTATAATAAAATTTTAAAAATAATAAATAAATACATATTACTCAAAATAATACTTAAATAAATGCTTAAAGCAAAATTGTAAGGTTTTATGATTAATTTGTAAATAAAAAATTATAGTTATAAAACAAAGTTTGTATAGGAGATAGTGCAAAGTTTTATGAACTAATGTTCAATCAGGTATCAATATAGGTACAATTTTAAATGAGCAAATGTTCAATCACACATAGATTTTTGTGCAATGTAAAAATAAAATAAGAAAACTAATCAAGAATTATGGTAAGTTTTGGTATTGTGCAATTATTTGAAGATAGATGTGCAATGTGTTTTGCTTAAATGTGCAATAGGATCCTCAAAAAATGCAATATTTGTATATCCATTACTATATTAAGGAAAAAAAATGTTTATATAAAAGATAGTGTGCAATTCTTTATAACTAATGTGCAACAACATGTAAGTATTTAGTGCAATATAAAACAAAAAATAAGGAAACTTAATTATTAATTGATAGTAGTTTTGTTATTTTAAATGTTGAAAGTTTCCTAAATTATTGATTTTTGAAAATTTTGGTAAGTCTTTATGATGTGGCACTTTGTCATTGGTTGAATTATAACGCTACCATACCCTCAAAATTATCAACGGGACCCTAGAATTTTCTATAAAAATTATCACATTTTTGCATTTAATAATTACTTTCCTTTTTTAAGTCTTACTATTACGGGTGGGGGTCTCCTGTGACACAAGTTGGTGCCACTACCTGTGACATTTCACCAGAGATTGACACATGCCCAAACTTTAATTCCCACCACTTTAGTTTTCTGTTAAGTTAACGACCGTTAAAGAAACCAAATAAATAATAACTAATTAATTAATTAATTTAAAAAGAAGATATTTAAAAGAAGGCTTCCCTCTCCTCCTCTCTAATTTATTCACTTCTGATGAAGATTCTCAAAAACTGAAGTATTGGAAAAGATTAGAGCTATTCTTCACCGGATGATCAGAATTCAGACCACAATTTAATTTTGTTTCTAGTGTTATTCTAAACCCTTAAAAATAGATCAAGCCACCTAAGATTGTTCATAGCTTCCAAAAACTCCAATGCAAATCCACAATAATAACAATTAAAAAAAATGGTAAGAACTATCACAATAATAATGACTAAGTCCACAACAACCAAGTAATGAAGAAATGATAGCAAATTAAATACCATGTATATATGGATCCATTTAACCCAAACGTTATGATTTTTAATTTAATGCTCAAACATATTTAATAACTGTTACTTTATTCTATATTTTGGTATCTTTGACATTCAACCCTCCTTCCTAGCTTCCTTTTACAAATAAAATCGCAGACAACAAGAGGCACTGATCTCCTAGATTCTTAATTTCATCCCAAGAAAAAATTCTTACAAATCCTATTCACTTATAATACTACATGGGAGGATGTAGACTTTCATGGACCTTTTAATGAACCTAGTGTTGAGAAAGTGGTTCAGATCCTAACTTACACAACATCAGCCTAGATGGTGGAACTTAGGAAGAGATCCTTGGATAAGTATTAAATACTATTTCGTACTGAAAATGCGACTACACTCTACTCATGTTGCAAAAAATTGGTAAAACTAAAGATATCTAATACACACAATATTCGTGCAAAGTTCGAGCCTTATGTGGTCACACAATATAAATTTTAATGTTAATCGATTGACCTTGCTAAAAGACTGGATGTTTATCAATCGAAAGCTGAGAATGAAAGATTCAGAACGGAGAAGCAACTCCTCATGTACGAGCTATATATAGACACTACTCATTTATGATTAGGCGAAGATTGTGCGGTTAAACATGTTAATATTTTAGAATGTTTTTTGGCATGGGACTTATATTTTGGTCATTATGCGTTCCATTTCCCAAAGTGAAAGGATTATCTTCCATTTGTTTTCAAGTTCTAAAGGATTTTAGTAGGACAAACAACCCAAGATGAAAATAAAATCGATGGATAAACAAGCAGCATCATTTTTGAACAAACACAATTGGATGTATCTAAATCACATAGTGGCTTCATCTTGCTCTCAGGCACCTTGTTATCCTTTTTTTTTTTTTTCGTTGCGTCTTGTCTAGATTGCTACTGCTACTTCTATTTCTCTCTCATTATGGCTTTCCACGGTGAATGGAGATTTGAGAGTGTATTTTCTTCAACCACAGAAGATCCATCTTTTTCATCAATATTTATGATATCAACTGATGGAGACCAATCACCACAGAGCTTATCAAAAACAATGCAAGAGTTTTACCCAGTCCCATGTCATCAGCAAATATTCTGCCTCGTACAGGCTCCGTTCTCTCACCAATGTATGTACATAGTCTTACCCTTGTATTTCAACAGAGAGAGACTATTTAAATACAACTAAATAGATTCATTGGTTTATTTGATATATTGATTCATTGTATTTCAGCTCTAAGCTTCATAGAAATTCTAGGCTCAGTAGAGAAAGTTGCCACTTAATTAGAATGGAGCCTAAGACCACTGATAGTGAGAGGCTTCTTTCCCTTGCATAAGGAGAATGTGAAAATATTTTACTATTAGAGATGCTGGGATTTCGGAATTTACATCTTGAATATTCTTATTTATGTTTTCGAGGTTGATATATGCCTTTACGAGATTGTGTTTGAACATATTTTTATCACAGATTTAAATTTATAAATGTAGCTGGTGTGAGAAAAGAAATTTTTTATCGAGAGAGCTAGGAGAACATAGATATGATAAAAAGAAAAAAACATTTATTGATATAAAATAATCAAAGGTAAGTTAGCACATTACTGCCCTTGAAGAAGAAAATTCCCGATATCAAAATGGAACATGAGCTATTAAACTAATCACATGATTAATTGATTTGTCACACTATGTAGTGTATTATACAATAAAAATGGCCTAAAAGATCTTTTGTCATTATGGGGTGATAATCGTGCTTGCCTTGTAGGATTATGCAATACTAATTTTTTAGTAAAGCTTTTCAACACTTCAGAAGGCTTCTTTTTAATGTCCTATAGAATGAGTTCCATGTTCTGAGGATTTGAATCGATTGGTTTGTCCAAGGCTTTCAAGAATAATGGGCCAACAACGGTTGTAGCGCTTTGTTACATGGATGGGAAGACTTAAGAACAAGAAATCCTCCCTCTATTTGTCATAGATAGCTATTTAACTTCTCGAGAGAGACACTTTCATGCATCACTAATTTTGAGAAAGATATTAAGTTCATGCGGTTACTTCTCCATGGAGCTCTTAATGAAGTTGGTGTTGATGAAGTGGTGCAGATCATAACTTACACAACATCAATGTCCTGGATGGCGGATGCTGGGAAGAGACTCATGCATAAGTATAAAATTCTAGTTTGTTTTGTAGTAATTGCTATTGCACTGAACTCATGTTGGAGAAAATTGGGAGAATGAAAGATATGTATGTGTATATAAGGTCATACAATGCTAATTTTAAAAGTTTTGAAATTCTGTTTCATGATTAATATAAGAAGAAAAAACGATTGAAAATAAACAAAAATG